TTGCCAAGGTCGCCCTTGTTGAGGTCCTGCTTGTTGAGGTCGCCCTTGCGCTGGTCGTGGTCGCCCTTGTGGTCGCCCTTGTGGTCGCCCTTGTCGCCCTTAAGGTCGCCCTTGCGGTCGCCCTTCTGGTCGCCCTTCTGGTCGCCCTTGGGGTCGCCCTTGCGGTCGCCCTTGTCGCCCTTAAGGTCGCCTTTGCGGTCGCCCTTCTGGTCGCCCTTCTGGTCGCCCTTCTGGTCGCCCTTAAGGTCGCCCTTGCGGTCGCCCTTGTCGCCCTTCTGGTCGCCCTTGTTGAGGTCGCCCTTGTTGAGGTCACCCTTGGTGCCCTCGCCCTTGCCCTTGGCAGCAGCACCCGTTGCACCCTTGCCCTTGGCTGCTGCAGCCTTGGCGCCTTTGCTGGCTGCAGGCTCGCCCTCCTTCTTCCCAGGCTTGCCTTTGCCCCAGGACCGCCACGAGGCTTCCTCCTCGGAGCTGGACTCCTCGTAGTTTCCTCGAGGCCCCACAGCCGCCTTGGCCTTGGGGCGCAGCTCCATGTTGTTCCTGGGCTTCTTCGAGGTGGGCTCCATGGAGTGGTCCTCGATGACCCCAGGCATGCTGCAGGTCTGGCTTCCTACGTAGGCCTACACCCTAGATCCTAAATCCGTAGCCTATAGGATAGGAGAATGTGAGCCAAACAAACGGCATCGGTATGCAAAAACACAACTGTTGCGAGCGCACACGCACGTGCACAGGTATGCATATACTGCACTGCACAGACCAACACCAATTGCGGGCAGGGCTCCCACTGGCCCGGCGCTTTCAAGTGCTTGCAGCCGAGGACATACCGCAGCGGCGAGAGCAGATCAGCCTGGGCAAGCTCTTCAAAGGACCTGACCTATCCTATCCTACATTAGGTCTAGCTATCCTAGATCCTACCTAGGTCTAGGAGCATAGGTCTAGCCCTAGTAGGGATGGTAGGTAGGACCTACATAGGGCCCGCTGTCTCATCGTTGCGACCAAGCGTCATTGCCCAAATCGTTGCGCAGAAGTTCCATCTCAATCCACTGCAGGCCTGTGTCAGGAAGGTCCTGGGCGATGAACTCAAAGTCAGACAGCCGCCAGGTGAGCTCCACAGGCTCACGCGGACCAGGGAGAGCCACCTGCAGCGCGACTACATAGCTCCTACCACCTAACTCACTAGTACTAGCCCAAGCTGCAAAGTGCAGCTTCTAGCAACTACAAACCTACCTGCTACTATAGCGCCCGCTAGCCGCCAAGAGGCATCAGACCTCGATCGAAAATTTCGCGCTATAGCTTGCCCAAATCTCTGCGGGTACTGCCTGCGAGTCACATGATCCAATCCAAATCACATCTTCATATGCAGCTGAAGCACTGGGAACGCTTCAGCTGTTGCTTCTGTCCCACAAAGCGCTTTAAGCCAGCAGAGTCCACATAGCTTCGAGTGAGCTTCGCCGACGTGACGGCTTCCTTCTCGCGCTTTGAGAGGTAGCCGCCTTCCGCCCCTACAAAGTCCTGGTCATTGCTCCAGGCGCAATGGCGCTTGGCTGACTGGGCCCCGAAGACGCCCATCCACCAGTAACCCCGCCATACCTGATGGAAAGAAAACAATAGCGGAACAAACAGCAAAAAATGTAGCAGACAAAAGCGGCGCTATAGGTGATTGAAACTGGCTGCCTGGACGCGAGCAGAAAGCCACTCAAAGCATGGCATAGTTCCCAAGCACGACTGAGCTGGCTGCTCAAGAAGCCAGCGGGTTTGCTTGTAGGACATCAGCAGCAGGAGAATGCACACACGCGCAGCAAGCTTGTTGCCTGCGGCAACAAACTCAAAGCCAACATTTCCTCGAGGGCAGCTGGCTGATCGGCCCGAAGTAGCCCGACTCCTTGACAAGGCGCGCCAACTTTGAATGCCACATTCAATCATAGGCCCTGACATTATCGTGAAGGAGTTGCAGCAAAGGGCAACCACAGCTGCAGCTCCAGGGCCCAAGGCTCGAACTGCTGCCATAGCAAGCCTGCAAGAAATTACTGGGCTCGCAATATGGCACAAATCGCAACATCACAAACTCAGCTCCGGGCACAAAACCTGAGGGCTGCAGCAAGTCCATGCAAAGCGGGTTTGCCACTATGTCGTGGCTTTCCCCGCGCAGGCCATCCTGATATGTACCGAAATCACAAGCTCATGACACATACGTGCTCGAGACTTGCGCGCTCCTGGCTCAAATGCCGCGAGACTTCACCAGCGCCAGCAAAGAGCTCCAAATACTGCAGCTGGTCCTGCGCTTGAAAAACAACGAAATCTGCAGAAGACTCACCATATATGTCCTGCTGCAGGTTGGGTATGTCCAAAAAACCCACCAGCACATAGAGCAGGATTACGCACTTCGGGGCGCGCCAAGCAAGCAAATCGCGAACAACCATCTGTAGAGACTGCCGCGCGTGGGCATGTCCTATAGCCTAAATGCTGCACACAGCCGCAACATTGCGACCAAGTTCGCACTATACATCTAACAAGCTAGCAAATTAAGCAACGCATTTTCTGCTCCTAGGCAAACCTACGTCGCTTGAGTTCGGCGTGGGACAGCGAGGAAAGCAGCAGGGCTCGATCAGCTGAGAGGTTCCAGGCAGCTGATGCCTGTTTGAAGCTCGAACCTGCCTGCTTAGCTGCAAGGATGAAATCTTTGCGTTTCTGCGAAAAAAGCCCAGCGCTGTACATGGCATCCTGCTCACTCGGAGGCTCGGGCTGCTTGGCAGGGCTGCTTGGGGGTGCATTTTGCGAGGCCTCCGCCCTGGCTTTCGCCTTGGCTTTCGCCTTGGCTTTTGCCTTGGCTTTTGCAGCTTGCTTGCGATTTTTTTCGGCGGCATTGCGAGGAAGGTCCTCGCTGTCGCTCCCCTGCTCGCTCTTGTAGTCCGCATTTTTCCACCTGTAGCGCGCGCTATAGCTCTAGCAAATTCCAGCACTCGCAAACAACGTATGTGGCTAAGGAGCTGGGTACTAGGGAGCAGCGGCTTGGCAGCTGCAGGCAGTTCCTGCAGCTTCTTCATCGCTTCGCGGACCTAGAAAAGGAGAAATGCGTGAGCTCCAAGAAAATTAAAACAGCCCAAGAAGCCGTGTCGGTTAAAGCAGGCTCTTCTGCGCGGGTCTGGCTGCGGTGCTGCTGCAAAGCAGCGGCCAGGGACGAGGAAGAGCACTGGGCAGCTGGGGCTGCAGACTGCAGAGCAGCTGGAGTTGCTGCAGAAAAAGCTTTGCGAGGCAGGGCAGCAGCTCTCCGGCTGGCAGCCAGTTTGGCTGCAATGGACCTTCTACAAAACGCACGTGCGACATTCCAGTCCATGCGCTGTATCTGAGCTCATGGCTGCTTCTCTGCAGGGCCGGGTACTGCAGGAGTTTCTTCATCTGATTCCTTCCAATCAAAGGCAGCTACCGCAGCAAGAAAGCGAGATCAGGCCCTGGCTGCCAAGCTTTCGCACCCATCATCGAGCTCATCCTCAGACAAATCCTGCGCGTACTCTGAATCTCTGCTAAAACTGAAATTCGGAAAACCGGCTTGCAAAATCAAGCATATCCTCCAGGCCCAGCTGCATGTGCGGCAATAGCTCCATCTTCAGCTCGTTGAGGGATTTATTTCTGGAGGTCTTCGCAACGCGGATCAATTTCTTGAAAGCTGTCACCTAGGCCAGCGTGAGACTAGATCCTATATAGCGTAGGCCTAATATAGTCTAGAAACATCTTGCCTAAGACCCCTACCAATTTGCGTAGAGCTTGCCCGACCCGCACAGACCAGCGCATGACCGCCTCGCAGTGCGCACTGACGCCCCGAGGAAGCTGGTCGGTGTCCTGCATAAACTTGCGCACAGCTGCAGCAAGCACATGGGCAGAGGCCCTTCGCCGCTTGGGGTCACTGCCCCGTACTGCGGCAGCTATAGCCTGAGTTCTACAAGGCAACCAGTCGAGGCACTGAGATTTGCCAAGTGGCTCGGGGATTGTGCATGACATCGGCCCGTGTTGCAGCGTGGCTGGTCTTGAGAAGCTTGCCGCTGTAGTCCACGAGCAGCTTCATGCCAACCTAGAATGTTGCCAAAAAAATTCAGCGACAAAACCGGTAACCGAACCGAGCAAACCTAATTCTTCAGCAAAGCTGCCTTTTGGAGAGCGACCTCGTTCTTGAGCTCCTGGGCTATATTCTTGATCTCGGGATCGTCAGAGCCAGCGCACGAGGCCGCCGACTTCAGCGATGCCATGGCACGCAGCAAAGCCTAGCTAGCCCTATAGCAAGCTTCCTAGCCTAACCTAGACCTAACCCCTACCCTAGGCTGAGCCAGGAAGCTGCAAGTGTTGACAACGCGCTCCAAAAATACAGCGAACGCACACGATCACTCAACTCCATAATATATGGGGCACTTGACAGCCCTGCGCGGACAACGTTCTTGATCTTCGGGATCTTTCGCACACCTAGCGGCACCTGCAAGCGAGTTAGGGGCATATGCGTGCATGCATCGAAACGCGGGCCTCCCGGCGCTTCGAGACCACCCGGCTTTGCAAGCCCATGCACCTAATTTTACAGGCCTAGCTAGCACCCCTATAGCTAGCCTATGAAGGCACCCTACCCTAATTTTGCGGCTTTGAGCCGTCAAAAATGGCTGCAGCCACACATGCTTTGTTTTCACTCAGTTTGCTGCCGCACATTGCAGAACACACCTAATAGAGCAAATCTAGCTCAGTTGCTAGAGAGAAAAATCATAGTTTTCTATGTTTTCCAAACAGGCCTTAAAATTGTCATTTTTAAGGCCTTTTTGAAACAGGTCCTAAAATAGAGCCTGTTTATGTTTTTTAGAGGCGTTACTTTTAGAGTGCGTTTGGTCTTCCAGGTAGTAGTTGCAGTAGTAGTAGTCGCAATAGTAGTAGTCGCAATAGTAGTGTTGTCGTCAGTTCCATCATGAGGGCTTGCCTGTCGCTGTTACCGTTTTGCCTGTGCTGAGCCTGGAGCCCTGCCCGCCTTGCAGATCGGCCTAGAAAGGAAGTGGGTGGGAAACCCGCATCATGTCTGATTCTGAGACAGCAACCGTTCTGGAGAGCAGCGTTGCTATGGGGAGCGGCCAAGGCTTGAGACGATGCTGAAGTCAACAGGGCCCAGCGTCACAGGCGTACAGACTGTGATAGATCTGCGAGCGTTTGGTTCTCAAACGGCTTGGCCAGAGGCTACAATCCCTTGCTGTTAAGACGGCAGCACGTTTCAGAAGCAGCAGGCAACATTTGTGAATTTGGAAAATGCGACCCGACAGAGCAACCATTTTGCCAGCTTGCTCTCATGTACTGCGCAGTTTGCCATAGCTGTTGTGCCATTGCAGGGGCTCTAGTGAGTAACATGTTTGACCAGCGCACAGGCAACGCCTTTGATGGCCCTTTGCTGAAACCGAGCGAGTCAGCCAGCAGATTCTGGCAAGTGCTGGTGTGTGTCTTCAGCCCATCCCCAGACCTCGTAGCCAGGCACCCATATCAGCCATAGAGGCAAAACGTCGTAGATCCTCACTGCACCTCAGCCATGATTGAGCTTGAGGGGCACTGAGGTGTGGCCAGTTTTCCAAGAGAGTCAAGAGAGTCAAGAGAGTCGAGAGAGTCGAGAGAGTCGAGAGAGTCAAGCGCGAGTGGAGGCCAATGCTTGGCTCTGGCTAGATGGGAAGGAGCAGAGTGGGGCGCCCAACCGAGCCAAACAAGCTAAGGCAACACGAGTCGCCACGGGTTTGCCAAGCTTGCCTTGGGCCAAGGTCAGCAGCTCAGATCGGAGCCGCAGCAAGCGCAGCAGGCGAAGCAAACGCAGCAAGCGCAGCAGGCGGACGCGCAGCAAGAGCCCCAGCAGCAGCCCTAGCCGGAGGCGGAAGAGCAGGAGCAAGAGCAGGAGCAAGAGCAGGAGCAAGAGCAGGAGCAAGAGCAGAAGAAGCAAAAGCAGTAGCAGCAGCAACAGCCGCAGCAGGAGAAGAAGCCGAAGCAGCAAGAGTAGGAGCAGGAGTAAACGAAGTAAAAGGAGCAGGAGGAGTCGAAGGAGTAGAAGCAGTCGAAGCAGCAGGCTGGCCAAATTCAATGAAACATGTCAGTCTGTCATGGCTGAGGAGCAGTCGAAGCCGAAGTAGACGAGCTCTGGCCTCAGATTGAGGCTTCGGGATCAGATTTTCAGATTGGTCGTTTCAGGGCAGACGGCGGCGAGAGGGAAGCCGACGGCGGCACACCAAGAGCCAAGGCCGGCTTGGAGCTGACTCTTTCGCAGCTTCGCCTGTCGCTCGCGAAGCTTTTGCGCTTTTTGCGCTTTTTGCGCTTGCTGACTTTGGGGTTCTTGGCAGGGAGCAAAAGGAGCGCGTTCCCGGCCAGTGCCTTTGGTGGATATTGGGGCAACTACCGGAACTACGCAGCGGCCCGAGTTGCCAAGCTCCCAGTGGAGTCTCATGCCGGATGCTTTAGGCTTGGCCTCAGGTCTCCCTGCCACTCTTGGCATATTCGCACCCCGGGCCTCAAATGAGTTGCCAGGACTCGTCGGCCTCGTACTACCAGTACCATGCCGACAGGGGCTTACTCAAAACTGCCAAAAGCTTTGAGGTTGCGAATTCACTGCTGAACCAGTGGGGGACTTGCACAAGTCAGGCATACCCTACTTTATACTCCCAGCGGGACTATGCCACAGAGAAGCCAGAGAATTACATGGCCTTCGTCCAGAGCTTAGTTTGCGCGCGTAAGTACAGCTGTCGAGAAGCTGGCCAAATTGAAAGCATTCTCAGATTCTCAGTAGTCTTTCCCTCTCTCTGACCAGGTGCAGCAGCATGTTCGCGAGGGCAGCAATGGTCCAGAAATTACCCTCAGCAACAATATGTGCGTGTGCCCCAGAAGTTCTGGTTTTGCTTTCCTCGTTTCCTGACTTGTTCAGGTCAAGACCGGCATGTCGATGACCTCCTCCTTTGCATCGAGCAGGGCTGGCAGACATGTATGAAGACAGCCTGTGCATGCCTCACTTTGAGGTCCTGGCTGCTCCGCCAGTATGGCACAAGCAATGCGCAGCCGGCTGCTGAGTCAAGGTTTGCGCATGAACCCCTTCAGCCCCACCTCTCTGCTTCATTCTGCTTGCTTCGCGCTTCATGTTTTGCATTGCAGGCCGTGGATGATTGGTGTCTTAGACCTCTCCCAGCTGCAGCCCCATCTCGACTCCAAGCTTGGCAGGCCCCACACCTCCGCTCAGGAACGGGCTCTCGGACGAGAACGTGGCGCGCATCACGGACCGCCTGCGACAGCTCAGTGTGCGGGCTGGGGCCTGAAGTTCGGAAAGTCCACTCGCGAGTTCACTGATTCAAGCTTGCGAGCTTGGGGACAGTGGGACCTAGTGCTTGGAAGCGCAAGTGCAGGTGAAGTGCTTGGATTTGACTGGCAACAGCGCCAGCAGCAAAGGCCATGCCCCCAAATAGAAATGCTTGCACGCCAAGACACCTCGATGCTTCGCCCAGGACTTTCCTCTTTAGAGGCCTATCTCTGGAATTGCTCTGAGCCTGTCCATGAGATCTCTTTGGCAAACAATGACATCACCGTCGAGGCAAAGCAAGCAGCTTTTGCTCCTTGGTTTTGTGTTGCGGTAGTGAAATGCTGACCTGTCGAAGCAGCAAACCGAAATTCAGCACACAGTGACACAGTGACACAGTGAGGGGCATTTCAGGCGGATGGGGATGACGTGGTGTCCTCGTTGCTTCGGTGCTTCTACAACCACCCGTCCTATCCCCGGAAGAGCTCGGAGCCCGTGATGATCCACCCGCTGGTGCTGCGCCTGGGCCGGGCCCTCGGGCGGCTCGGGCGGCTCGGGCGGCTCGGGCGGCTCGGGCGGCTCGGGCGGCTCCGGATCTCGGGCTCCCGGGCTCCCTGAGCTTTCGAGAGGCGGCAACAAGATCTCGGATCCTGAATTTCTCCGCTTGCAGAAGGACATCCAAAAGAAGGACATCCTGCTTTCGAATGGGGGCGAGGCTCCCGTGTTTCTATGCCGCTCAGGTGGGCAAGAAGGCCCGCTTTTGCTCTTCTGCAGAGGCCTGTTGGGCAAACAGGTCTCCGCTTCACGCCATGGGGCAGAAGTTTTTGGCACTTCAGAAGTTGTGAGAAGGTTTTGGGGGTATAGAGAAGGCTTCACATGTTGCATGGTGCGACTCCATTAGGCCTACAAAGCCGAGACAGAAGAGTTCCTGCCTGGCGCCGAGCGGAAATCGGGGAGTGAAGCTTGGCAGCTTGGCAGCTTGGCAGCTTGGCACGGAATTCCGCGGAGTGCGACAGGTCCGTGTACTTCGCGGAGGCGGGATCTCACTTGAGGATCTGATCCGAATCTCGCCTGATCCGAAGCCAATCTTTTGATCCAAGGAGAAGGATGGCAAGGAAAAGTCTGACTCAGCCTGGCAGAGGCGTCAGAAGAGGCGAGCGAAGGAAGAGGTGAAGACCGGCAGTGGAGAGGCAGAGGAGGTGGCAACTGAAATAGCAAGCGAAGACGAAGAGGAAGAAAGAGAGAAAGTGGAGGAAGTAGAGGAAGTGGAGGAAGTGGAGGAAGCTAAGGACGTGGAAGACGTGGACGAAGCAGAGGAGAATGGGAAGCCCAAGAAGAGCAAGAAAAAGACGGGGACTTCCAAGTCGAAGTCAAAGAAGGACGAGCAGAACACTTGCAATGAATGAGCATGGCTTTGCCAATTCGCGTTTCCGACTTTCCCTTTGTCAGGAGAATAACAGCAAGGTGAAGAAGAAGAAGCGGAAGAAGCGGAAGAAGTCGGCATCGAAGGAGTCCAAGGAGTCCAAGGTTTCCAAGGAGTCGGCGGAGTCCAAGGAGTCGAAGGAGCCGAAAGACGGTGCAGACTTTCGATGGGAGCTGCACGCTCCCCGATGCCAGGAGAACGGGGAAGCCGATGCCTAAGATTGCCCAAGCATTCGAAGCATTCGATTTGGGTCGACAGAGGCTGCAGAGGCCGCAGAGGCCGCAGAGGCCGCAGGCGCTGACGCAGAGGCCGAGGCCCCCGCGGCCCCCTCGCCCGCGTTCAACCCCGAGGCCAATCAACCCCGCGTTCAACCCCTTTGTACGGCTATTCTGCAACCTGCAGTCTGGAGCTGCCACAGTCCACAAGTACCCAAGCAAGATGTTGGATTCTGGACCACGCTTTCCAGGCAAAGCCTGGCTGCCAGATACGCCTTGTGCGAAAGCCAGTAGCATGTGAGTGGCCTGAGGAGAAATATGGCAAAGATGAAAAATATCCCATGTTGCACAGTCCGGCAAACAATACCACAAGACTCTCCCGCGCGTTTCAAGCTCCTGGGTTGTCTCTGCCCTGATGCATGAAAGCATCGGGAATTGCATATGATTGTAGTTTTGAAACTTCAGCGTGCAATCAGAATGTGCACGCATGCAAACACAAACCGACACGCACACAAAGACACACAGACACACAGACACACAGACACACAGACACACAGACACACAGACACACAGACACACAGACACACAGACACGCAGACACACAGACACACAGACACACAGACACAGACACAGACACACACAGACACACACACACACACAGACACACCCAAACACAGACACAGAGAGACACACGCCACTATCCAGTGGAATGTCTGACTGAAACCTGAGCTCTGGACCAAAAAGTGCAACAACACATCTACGTGCAACTGCTCAGCCACCTCTCTTGACCTGAAAGCACCTGCCGGCCTCCTCACCTGTAAACTCTCAACTTAGGGACTTCTCAAGTTTGGATTCGACCGGCTGCAAAGCAGTGCCAGGCCTAGCCCGTGGCAGCTTATGCTCAAATGTTCCTCACACCTCCTCCTCCTCCTCTCCGCTTTCCTCCTGCTCGTCTTCTCCTGCATTGTTCAACCATTGCAGACACCGCTTAGCAACACGTTCGTAGAAGCGCATCGACAATAAGTTTTGACACTTTGTCAAATATCATGATTTCGCACAACTGTGGCACCAGCCTCATCAAGCGCATGCACTCCCCAGAATCTGCAGGCAACTAAGTCATTGGAATCCGGTTGAGACGTATCATATCGACTCCGGGATGCTAGCGGCACTTCCCCTTGCTTCTGCCAGGCGGCTGAGCTGTCAGACACAAAGCCGGGGCGCATGGTGGTCTGTCCGACCGAACTGCCAGCTCGCCTCAGGAGCCAAGGCGATGGCTTCACAGTTTTCCAGAATTTCACCTTGGAGGACACGGAGTCGACGTGCCGGTGACAATTTGGTGCCCTGTGCCCAGGACCAGTCACGGTTGAAGCAAGATACGGAGCAGAGAATGAGGCGGATGTGGTGATACTCCTTGCTCGAGCTATGCTTTGGCATTGGCAGGCTTATGGAGGGCCTGCTGTCCAGCATTGGTGACACCGCCCTCGTGAAACTAGCCGAATTGATGGTCGGGCTCTTTGGTTGTGGCCAAGCCGCACTCCAGCCGCTCTCCAGCCGCACTCCCGCTCAGGTGCGCTTACTGATGAGTGGTAAAACGCCGGAAGAGATGCTGTCCGAGCTGAAGCCTTTTGCTGCAGCCTTAGCCAGCAATTCGAGCTTCGATATTTCCAACATCGGCCGAGGTTGGGAAACAGAAAGCTTCGGAACTCGCGGCCGGCAGTCCCAGGGTTCAAGACGTGCACGTGCAAGACGTGCAAGACGTGCAAGACGTTGATGTTCAAGACGTTGGGTAACTATACAGATTGCATCAGATTGCCCAGGCGTGGGTGGAAACCTATTGCCAGTCTGACTGGCTGAGAGAGAAGCTTGCAGTGCCAGAGACCGAAAATCGCGGACCCGAGACAGGTATCAGCCATCTGTTTCATTTTGACATGTGCATTTGCTGGCTCTAGCTTTCGTACGTCACATTTCGTGCACGAGTATCCTTCAAGAAGGCATAATTGCTTGAAGAGATTTGGATGGCCTACACACAGACTGCTTGCTTGTCTTCTTTGCGGGGCGCGGGGCGCGGGGGGCGGGTGCATGCCACGAAGCCTGTGGGCCGGGTACTCGGGCACTCGGAACTCGGGCACGCTCTGGGCGTGGGGTGGTGCTTGAGCCGAGGAAAGTGAGCTGGTGGCGGGTGTGGCATTCCGGCCGCGGAAGTGTCAGCCCTCCCCAGGCATCGAGTTTTGACATGAGACTTTCAGAGACCTCGAACCAGTCGAACCAGGCGCTTGGATTGATAGCACCTACAAGGCAAACGATGTGCAGCTGGCCTACAGGCCCGACCGGTTGCGTTCACGCCCTATTTTCCCAAATCGCTCCCTTCAGGCTGTACACAGCGTCAACCATTGAGCCGGGGAAGGAGAGCGACCGTTTTTCGTGGCATTTCGTGGCTGATGACTTGCTGATTTCGGCGCCAGGCCTTGCTGATTTACTTTCACGCCAATGCCGAGCTATGTACTGACCTGGAGGCCTGGATGGATCCTGGATGGATTTGGATCCTTTCCTTTCTGCGCGCTGTGCAGGGAGAGGTGCACAAGTTCTTTCCTTGCGGCTTCTGCGGGATCCTTTGCCCAGAGGCGCTGGGAACAGCGATAGCGATTGCTATCAGTTCAATCGAGCGACTATGAGCGACTGCTATTGCTCTCAGTTCCGGGGCTTTGCCTGGAGCGATGGGACCCCAAGCCTCAAGGCGCTCTACCCAGACTGCGAGGCGCTGATTCAGGACGGGGCCAGACGGGGCTTGCGAAGGGCCTTGAAGGCCTTGATAGCCGATTCGCTGGCAAGGCCCTGCCTGGGATTCTCGCTGATGCTGGTATAGAGGCGCATCGCGTGGGCACATCGCGTGGGCGCATCGCATGGGCGCTTGGCATCCGGGAGACTTCGGGCCGCAGGATTCAGTGCCCATTATCCTGCACGGTCGCAGCTCGCTGCTTTGAGAGAATGGAGCGCCATCCGATTTCGATTGCTCTCAGGTCTGGGCACGCAATGTGCCATTCATCTTGCTTCGATGGAGGCACCTTACAGTTCTTACGCTCGTGCCGTCAGCCTTCAGACAGGTGCCCAACGTTGGCGGCCTCATCGTGGAGTCGGGGGTGATGGAGCTGCTGCGCCTGCCCATGGTGCAGCAGTTCAGCATGATGATGCCCCAGCTGCTCCAGGCACAGTCCTTCCGAATGAGTCTATGAGACTCACACTCGTGCGGACACTGAAGAAGTCAATCCCTTCCCCCCAAGTAAAATCGCCTCACGGAGGGAGTTTTATTAGTGGTCGCTGGTTTTTGCCTTAGGTATACTTCATTCTTGCTGTTTAGTGGACTTGTGGAAAGTGGATCCCCTTTGATCTGGAGAAAACGCGATTGCAACTTTGAAGTACGAACTCAAGGGACATTCCCGTTGTGAATTTCTTGGAATGTTTGGGCTTGGCGTGCGGACTCTAGTAAAGCCTGTTTGGGGAGGTCTTTTCTTGAGGAGGACAGCCCCTTTGAGGTGCGAGCGTGAGCGTGTTTGCTGCACAGGCCCAAGTACAATAAAAGCCCTAAACAATAAACCTAATAACGACCCTGTCGCACAAGGCAACCCCTTTTGGTTTAAAAGGAAACATGCTTAGGATGCAACTTTTGAGTAGCAATTTAATTAGAATTGCAAAGGAAAGGGGCTTGTTTCTGTTGGGCACATAGCTTGGCACGTTCTTGAATCAACACAAAATGAAGGAGGGGCCTAATAAGCACATTTTGACTTGGTGGAAAACATTTGTGGTCTCAGGGTTTTTATTGGCTTGGTAGTGGCTAGTTTAAAATTAGTATTTGCGATTTTGGCGCGGCTGGGGGGTAGGTTGATAGGAAGTGATCATTTTGGTTGCGAAGCAGTCGCAGTGGCTGTCCAGGCACTGCAGCAAGAGCCGTCGCCTTTGCAGCCTTTGCAAGAGCTCAAGCAGGCGTTTTCAGACCGGGGACATCTCCGGTTGTCTCCCATGGTGTTTTCTTTGCTGCGAAGTCTTTTGAAGGCATTTTCAGGCTTTCGTTTTCGTTTTCGCGAAGCCGCGGCATTCTCGTTTTGGTTCAAAGCATCGACTTGTCGCCTTGGCGCTGGCAGTGTCCCTTGGCTGGGCAGCTCAGCCTTGTAAGCGTTCGCACTGCGCATTGAGTCCTGTCGGATGTCCGGCTCCAGAAACCATCCGTCCCGTGGGCAGCTTGTACAGCTTGTACAGCCTGTAGTCAGCCTGTGCAATGAGCCGCACGGTGAAGCTGGCGAATGGTGTTGAGATGCCGAGCTTCGGCTTCGGCTGCGCTTTTGGCAACTGGTCAGACGAGTCCCAAGCCAAGGGCTTTACTCCAGATTTTTGCCTGCAAAATGCGCAAAAACCGGATTGGTCCAAGAGGCAAAGTTATGCAAAGCTTTCAGAGAGGGCCAGAGACTCATTGAGTACTCGGATGCTTTGTGAATTTGCATTTTGTTATTCCCCAAGTAGCCTTCTCGGGTTTGCTTCTAAAGAGGTGGGTCTTGTTTTCCGAAATCGGAGAGTGCCGTTTGTGTGCTTGAGGTGCTGTTACTAACGGTGGTTGTCCGGGTGCTGGTCTAGGTGCTGCTTGGTCAAGATGTTGTGGTGGTTGACGGCGCTGCTTGCAAAGGTGCTGTTGTGGGTGCTGTTGCGGCTGCTTGTCGAGGTGCTTGGTGTGCTCAAAGTGTTGCGGTGGCTGCTGGGGTGCTTGTTTAGCGACGCAGTCCGGGCGCAGTCACGGTGCTGTTGTTGATCTGGCGCTCTCAAGGTGCTGTTTGGCGTGCTGCCTGCCAAGCAAGTCCCGCCAGCAATCGCCACCGCGCCAAAAAGCACCCAGCACGCAAGACAGCACCTTGACCAGTGCCCCAAACAGCATGTTGACAGCTTGCCAAACAAGCGGCCGGCTCGAAATTGACACCGCGCCAGGTACCAAACAGCGCCTTGACCAGCGCCCAAAGAGTGCCCCAACCATTACTGCGTTGCAAAGCAAGCGCCGCCAGAAACTGCCATTGCGCCTTGAGCACATCAAAAAGCACCCTCGCCCCAAGCAGCGCCCTAAGCAATCGCCGCACTACTTTGAGCGCGCCAAGTCTGCATCGCAAAACAACGCCACCAGCAACCGCAACCTCACCCGAGCACGCCAAAAGCACCCTGACCAAAACTCACAACGGCACTTGGATGCAACCTGAGCATTCACCAGGGTGCTCTTGTGGGTGCTGGGGGGGGAGGTGCTGGTCTTTGTGCTGTTTTTTGGGTGCTGTGTATTTGTTGTATCCAAAAGTGTATAGTGCAAAATGGTACGTGGCCGTGGTATCATCTTTTATGCTGCTGATTTCATGAAGACTCTGTCTGTGCTTTGTGGCCGTGGTTTGATCATGATGCCAAACTCATCATGACGCTGCTAAATTCATTAGGGTGTCGGTTGTGCCTATAGCGATGGCTCGTGGTTGCAGTACCATCATGCTTCTTGACTGGCGGAATTCGCGTCAGGAAGAGGCCTGGTCAGCGGTGCCCATGGCGCTGGACGCTGGGATGCGGCACTTCGATGGGGCGTTGGTGTACTGCACGGGTCGCCACCTGGGGGACACCTTGGGCCGTCGCTTTGCGGAGGGCTCCGTGCGGCGCTCGGAGCTGTTTCTGACCACCAAGATCTTCCACCCGCCGGTGCCCGGGTTCCTGGTGAAGAGCCGCACCGTGGACATGCTGGCCGATGGCCTGAAGGACCAGCTGCTGGAACAGTTTGACCGCGCCCTGGAGGAGATGGGTGTGGGCTACGTCGACCTGCTGCTGGCGCACTGGCCGGGCAAGTTTGGGTCCACCGACAAGGAAAAGAACCGACAGGCTCGGAGAGTTTGCTGGGAGGTCTTCGAGGAGCTCTATGAGCAGGGCAAAGCCAAATCCGTGGGCGTGAGCAATTGGACCGAGGACCATCTTGCAAGCCTCATTGCCGACGGAGTGAAGGTGGTGCCTCAAGTGAACCAGATCGAGATGTCCCCCTATACCATTTGGGAAGATTTGGTGAAGTTTTGCCAAGACAAGAACATTGTCATCCAGGCCTACTCACCGCTTGGCTCGACCGCAGGTGGCTGCCTGAAGGACCCGTTGATCGTAGAGCTGGCCCAGAAGTACAAGAAGAATCCTGGACAGTTGGTGCTCAGATGGCTGGTCCAGCAGAACATCGTGGTGCTCCCTAGGAGCTCCTCGGCGTCGCGTATCGCTTCCAACATGGATGTGTTTGACTTCGAGATTGACAAAGAAGACATGGCCAAGATCTGGAGTTTGAACAAGAAGAAGTCCTTCACCAACGCGAACCCATACGACATCCCCTGATTGCGGTTCGTTCTGGCGGTTTCCGCCCATTTTGCGGACGCATTGCTTGAATGCGCCTTTAGAAAATGCCTTACGGGCTAGTGTCAGAGTCGAGCGACATGAGCCCAGATGGCATTGCTCAGGCCATGAACCGGAACTGGGTTCTGGGAGGCTGGGATGTCGCGAAGCCTTTTCTTTGCTCTCGGCTGAGATCGACGTGTTTCGCGTTGGCACCGCGTCCAGGCGCCCTGGGTGGGCTGCTTTGCTCCCAGGTCGCGGCACGCCTTAGGCGTGCGCTCATGCTGGGGTCGGTGTCAGGGCAGCCCAGCCTTCGTCGTCTCACGCGGCTTGGGAGAGCAACCTCGACAAGCGGCCGCACAGGCCGGCCCAGACACGGTCAGCGACACAAGCTGAAAGCTCCCAACAGAAACCGAAGCTCGGAGCCAAGCTCATTCTTTGGATGGAGTACTTTGGCCAGGCCAATGCCAGATCAGTTGGCCAGGGCCTGTGCAGGCTGTGCCGCCTCAGAATTTTATGTAACAGCCTGCCAGCCTGGCAGGAAACTTGGCTTCGCAGCTCTGTCTGTGGCTGCGGTTCAGTTAGGCCGATTTGCAAGCTGCTTGCTGGCTGCGAGCGTCACTGTGGGCAGGAAGCCGCCAGACCAAGGCAGGTCCAGCCATCCAGATCAGCATAGATCAGGCCCCTTGCTCTGTCCAGGCCAGGACTCGTCGAGCATGCCAAGCTGCCAGGACGAGCAGAGCTTATTGCCCTGAGTAGCGCGCTCATGTCGTTTTTCTTCGAAGGACGTCAGATGAGGAGCCGCTGTCTGCATTGGCCAAATATCTACACGAAGGGGTTCGACCATGGCTCGTGCACGAGCCAATAGACGCAGCCGTTGAGACATCAAAGGCAAGCTGCATTTTGCTGCAACCGTACCCAAGGCGAATGCAAAATTCTGAAAGGCAGTTCAACAGGTCAGACTGTCAGACCGCGTCGTTTCCATCTCATGGCCCGTCCTGCAACCGTGCCCAAGCCGCCAGCCAAGCTGGTGCAAGGTCTCCGAATGCATACGTGCACAGAAGCCTGTTGCCCTTGTGCCAGGGCCTGGGAGGTGCTTTGGCATCCCTTTGCAGTGGAGTTGGAGGCAACGCTTCCATGAGCTATGCATGTGCAGTCATGCAGCTGCCTTCTGGCTTTCATACGTTTCTATGTACATGTGCATGCTGCATTACCGCATTCTGTCTGTGCCAGGACACCAGTCGCTTGTGCGCGGCTCTCACTTAGCCAGGAGGTCCGGTCTGAATGTCCTGAGGTGGGGTGGGTTGCCTAAGGTGCTTACACGACAGGTGGCAGGTGGGCAGGGTGGAGAGAGTTTTGGAGTGGGGTTGTGTCCGAAGGGCAACGAGGAATGCACATGCGAAGGACACCTTGCTCGGGCACCTCTCACAGGTCGTCAGCGATATCGTTTCATTCAGACGAACAAGGCGGGTCGGAACCGCTTTCCATGAAGTTCACGGGACTCTGAGCGCTGGCATACCAATGCGCCCGAGTTTGCGGTGCCATCCTCCGTTTGCGTGTTCCCGACGCTGTTGGCCCTGGGGATTGCGAGTGCGCTTTGCCAATAAAACAAATTTTGAGTTGCGCAAGACGCGTCTTCGCGTTTTCGCCTCTTTTTCGCGTCTTCTTGCGTCTTTTCGTTTTTTGCGTTTTCGTCTTTTCGTCTTTTCGTTTTCAGGCGGTGGTGGCGTCGTCCCCGGCTGCACTCCGCCAGCTCCTGGATGCTGTGGTGCGAAACCGGCGGCCGCTGAACGGCCGCCCGGCAGACAGTCACCAACCGAAGCCCGAAGCCCTGAGCCCTTCAGAGCCTAGTCCAAAGGCTTCCAAAGGCTTCCAAAGGCTTGGCTTAGATCTGTTCTTCTTTTTGACTGGCGTGAAATCATGCCGATGGCAGGCGTGAATCTCGCGACAATCCTGTTTAAGGCGGCCAAGATGGATGCCACAGAGGCCAGTGGCAAGTCCGGAGTCTGGGCGCAGCGTGGCACATGCTCACCATGCTCACCATGCTCACATGCCACTTGGCAGGTCTACTCCCCTGCCAGTCTGGCGTATTTGGCAAAGCAGATGCGCGGCCAGACCATGGATGGGCGGCAGCTGGCCAGCTCGCTCTACGGCTTGCAGGGCTTGGGCGCCTTCCCCATGGCCGAGCTCGAAGAGCTGGTGTGTAGTTTGGCTGTGCAGGCGGAGCGTTTGGAGGAAGAGCTCTCAGGGCAGGCGGTGAGTCTCGCGCTCTACGGGCTGCAGTCCCTGGAAGATGAATCCGGGCAGAATCTGGCAGTGCGGCGCCTGCTGCGCGCGCTGGCGCGGCGCCTCTCGCGGGGCTCGCGGGGCTCGTTGACGGCGCAGGGGGTGGGCAGCGTCTACGGGCTGCAGGGCCTCAGCTCGAGCCCCGAGCTCCGAGAGCTCTTGGTGGCGCTGCGGCCCCTGGTCGAAGCTGCTCCCCTGGACAGCCAGGCCATCGGCAATGCGCTGTATGGCCTGCAAAGCATGAACAGCGACTCCAGGGAGGTGTGCCAATTTCTGGAGACCTTTGCCATCAAGCTCAGAGGCTTTGACCAAAAGCTCAATGAGCAGGAGATTGCTGAGTGTGAAACTTTCCAGAAATTGCACTAATGTCGGACAGATTGTTGGTCTCCAACGCATTGGCAATTGGCAATTGGCAGTTTGCTTTGGAGGAGGCAAGCAACGCTGTCTACGGCCTGCAATTCATGGACCCGGAGCTGCCATGTGTGAGGGAGCTGTTGGCAGCCATTGCACGTGCCAGCGCCATTCGCAGTGAGTCTCGCGAGTCCCGGTCTGGACCTGGGCCTGCGGGACCTGGCAGAGCTGGCAGAGCGGCGCGGCACCCGGTGGACCAGAGGCTCTCGAAGCTGCGCCCGGGCTGGCGAGCGGAGCTGCGGCGCTTCCTCGCTCGCGCGTGCGGCGCGTGCGGCGCGTGCCGCGTGTTGGACGTGGGCTGCGACCTGGGCGGCTTCGTCCGGGGCGTGGCGCGCGCGCGCCCGGACGCGCTGGTCCTGGGCCTGGAGGCGCGGCCGCACGCCGTGGCCTTCGCCAGGGCCAAGGCCGAGGCGCAGGGCCTCCGCAACGCGGCGTTTCTCCAGGCGGGCTCCGAGAGACGCGGAGAGAGAGGGCGGCGACAGCCACACGTTGCCAAGTGCCAGGGCAACGCCAAGCTTGACCTGGAGCATGTCCTGACAGAGCTCAGCCAGGCCCAACAGCTGCAAAGACTTGATTCATGTGCCGTGGGCTTAGGTTGAAGCAGTCACCATAAACTTCCCAGACCCGCACCTTCTCAATCGAGAGCAACGGCTAGTGTCTGGACATTTTGTGCGACTGTTGGCAGAGCATCTTCAGAGCGGCGGAGAGGCTCGATCCTTGGTGCGAATTCCAAAATGAGCCAAGCCGCGTATCACACTCGTGACACCTTGACCTTGCCAAAACTCTTAAAAGATCAGGTGCTATTCCAGTCTGACGTGTCTCTCTTGGTGGAGGAGGCGCTCAGCGCCACTGTACCTGAGCTCCCTGGTGCTTAAGTTATCGCCAGGCAAAGGCGGCGTTTATGCTGGGGGGCTGCTTCCTGGATTGCCCTTGGGTCCCTCGCCAGGACACGTGCGCTGAGATTGCTTGGCTGGCTCATCTAGTCCAATGGATGAGAATGCGCAAGTCAGACACCCATTTCCTTTTGACAGAGCGATAATTTGATTTGGTTTGAAGGGCGACCAACAGAGGAGCCGGTCGGAGCCAGTCCAAGCAGTCCCTCCGCTGTCGGGTCAACGGCACTGCTCCGCAAACGTCATCGCAGGAATCACCGCCGGCTTTCGGTTGCCCGGTGATTGTAACATCTGACCTTTGAACTTTGAACGCATGGGAGACGTTCACACTTGCATGCCACACCAAACTGCCACTGCTGGGTGCTCAAGCCACACCCGATGCTTCCTTGATACAGAATCGCCCTGAGTGCAGGGTTCGCAGGGTTCCCTTGAGAGGAAATTAGGATAGGTGCCTCCAAGTCCTCCCTTTTTCTTGACAGAGAATTCTCTGTGCAGAGCCAGGACTTTGTCCAGACAGAGCGAGAAGCGGCAGTGCGCCAATCCGGTTGGCCTGTCTACCAGGCGGGTGTGGGCACTTGTGCGCCTGTGAGCTTGCATGCTTCAGGCAAGGCTTCAGAGAAGCAGCGTCTCGCCTCCAGAACATCTACAGCGAGACGTGGATAAACTTCTTGGCAGCATGAGGTCATTGCATCAGATGCCAAGCTAGGGCATCGAGAAGTCAATCAGAACAGGCTGCAGAAGAATCAAGCAGGCCCGAGCCAGGAACGAGCCAGGACCGGGCCAGGACCGGGCCAGGACCGAGCCAGGACCGAGCCAGGAACGATTCGTTCCAGGATTGGTCGAGGATCTTCAAGGACGACTCGGGAGGCAACTTTAAGATGCCACAGATTTGTGGCAGGGAGCTGAGTACGCAACCTCCAGAACACGAAGCAGTTGAAGGAGTTGCTCTGATATAGTCTTCGGGCCAAGACATGGCAAAACAAGCGCAAGCTGAAAAGATGGCACAGCCTTAGCTGGTCTCTCCTTTGATTTTGCCTGGCCTGCGTGGACATTCTGCCTGCCCTGCAGCTATTTCTTGAACATACATGAACATACCACGTGGCTGCTGCTACCAAAGTCGAGCTTTTTTTGCAAGCATCTCCAAGAAGCCCGTTTGTTCCGAACGGCTTCCGGGACCCGGAAAGCAGGCTGGCAATGGGCGTGTGGTGAACATGAGCCAGGCGGGGACGGCATGACATGACTGTGGCATGGCCTCATGGGATTCGGATTCCTCGGTTTGCCTCGATTTTTCAAGCGCCGATCCGAGAGGTCCGCCGGGAGCTGCGGCTCAGCGCCCATGCCTTGTCAGCTGTCGGGGTGTCGGCGTGTCGGCAGCAGCTCAGATCCAGCGAGTGGAGCTCCGGCTGTATCGGAGGACACGGACGTTCTCAGGCACCGGTTCTTGCTTGCGAAGACTCGGTGTTACTTCCGCTCGCAACTCGCGATCAGACTTGGTCACCAGCCCGCCACACTTTGTGTACATCATCCGCTGCGAGTGGGAGGGCGCCCGGAACTCGGAACTCGGAGCTGAAGCCGAAGCTGGCCGCTTCGCGTCGGGGTTCTGTTTGGCCTTCAGAGCCCCGATTGCCCCGAAGGATCCAAAGCCCCGTGACCGCGACTCGCGGCCTAGGCGCATCACAAACCCATCAAAAATGCCGCGAAAAGAAGAATCCATTGCCAGGTCTGCGTCCCCAAGGAGTCCTCGAAGTCCTTCGCCTCGCTCGAAGGAGAAGTCTGGCTTCGAGGCCGGGAGTTGCTTTTCGGCCACTTCGGCCACTTTGACCACTTTTGGGATCACTTTGCCCACTTTGGCTTGGGATCTTGGGATAGCAGGATCCTTGGCCGTGGTGGGAGCCTCTGCCCAGGAGCCTGGGCCCCGGGCCTGCTTTGTGACTCGCGGCACTTGTGCAAGCAAGGCTACACCATCCGCAGGAAGTGGCACGAGATCGCCAGGTGCATCTCACCAAGATGCGCGTATGCGTCCAATGCATCGAATGCAGGTTCCACGAGGCCGTCAAGTCCGAGCTGGCCAACGATCCATTGCTCGGCTACCAACGAGTCAAGGCTGGACAAACTTGGGCAATGACAATGCAGCAGAGAGTCGACCAGGCCAAAGTTCCAGTGCCGCCCTCAAGGCTTCAGGAGGTTTCCGGAAGTTTCAGTCTTCATGTCTTTCCAATGTGTTGACCTAGGTGCTCCCTGAACCGGCAGATGTGGACTCCTGGCTCAAGACTTACGCGGCCACCAACGACGCTTGTGCGGCTTGGCAGAATAGCCTCTGCATCCGGCGCTTGATTTGGGACGCCAGATGCCATGGTGCCATGAGTTGATACTGCAAGCTCTAGGTGCCATGTATTCCTGACACTGAGGCTCTAGGTCGAAGTGCGCGAGAAATCTCGAGCAAGGCCAGCCTAAGCCGTGGGGAGAGAGTGTCCATGTCCGTGAATTGGCTTGCAAGCGTTTGTGGTTTCTTTCTTTTCGGACGCCTACATGCTTGTTGTTGATAGTGCCGCGTGCCGGAAGGGTTACTTGATGCTGGATGAAACGTCTGGGTAGCACAAGTCTTGAAAGTGTATGCTTTCTGCTTTGTTATTTTTGTATTCAGGCATCCTCGTGTAATAGTGTTTTAGCGATGGAGTTCTGCATGTTTTTTGCATGTGCAGACTAGACCCAGTCTTGATTGGGAGAGATGAGCTGAGCAACATTGCCGCCTAGAATTGCTTGTCTGACAAGGAGTTCGCTCCTTGCTTTCATGATCTCGGTGATTTGCATTGGCCAGGCACTTGGTGGTTTGCGATGAAGGTTGTTCAAGCCAACGCTTGATATGCGATAAGTGGTCTTGAGGATGTACTGTCACAATCGACTCGCTCCATACTTCAACGAAGTCAGCAAGGCGTAAGCCGTGCATTGTACTGACTGAGAGAAGGTTCCGTTGGGCGTGTCTTGCAACGCGCACCCAACGGATTGGCCGAGCCCTCTGCGGCCTTTCGGTGCCTCTTCGGTGCCTCTTCGGTGCCTCTTCGGTGCCAGGTCCTGGAAGAAGTGCCAGCAGAGGTGTTGGCCTCGTCACGGTCCCTGCGGCGCTTCGTGACAGGGGGCGTGAGTGGCAAGCAGGTCCTCCCTTCCGCCAGGTCCTTATGCGACATTCGAATCCGAATCCGAACGGGCGAATTACGGGCCGACAGCTGCTCTACGCCTTCTCCACTCGAGCTCGAGCTCGACTTCGCTTTTGTTCTCTGCTCTGTTCTCCGTGTTTTCTGTTCGAGCGCTTTGCTCCTCTTCTTTTGGTTCCTCTATTCTCGCCTTCCGGCGTTCGCTTTTGTCCTCTGTCCTCATCGCTTGTCCTAGGCTAAGGAAAGTGAGCTTCACGGGAACGCGGGGATGTGTGCATGCATGTTTTGCCTAGGAGATCTCTGGATTTGGGCAAAACTTCCAGCCTTGCCCAAAGCCCGTTTCTCAAGACCCCAGCGCATCGCCCCGAGTCCTTGCCCATTCCTCCTCGATTTCTGGGCAAGCTGGTGCCCACCGTCCCAGATGCAGAGGACATGGAGAGGCCCGCAGTTTGACGGGCGCTGTCCGCAGTGCAAGCCTGTTCGCCTCATTTTACCATCTTTGACCCATGTTGCCAGCATGTGCCAAGCTCATCTTTCCATCTTTCCATCTTCCCAGCTTGCCGCTGGCAAGCGCATGTCTGTGCCAGGCACTTGTCCCGCACAAGGCGCAGGGCAAGCCGGGACTTCCATCGGCATGGAGAGACTTCGCAGGATGCAGCACTCCAGATCCGCGGGAGGGCTGAGGCGAGGAGTTTTTCTTCTTCTTCTTCTCAGTGCGCGGTTTGCTATGGTCGGTGATGTGTCAGGAGCCGTGGGAGCGGCTCAAAGGCCTTGGAGCGGCCAGGCAGGGCGAGAGGGAGGCTGGCAAAGCGGAGCTCGGAGTGACGCAAGGTGCGACCACGGCAGCTGCAAAGCTGCTGGTGGGGACATAGACTCGCCCGATGGACTTGATTCGAGCGTTTTCCTTGAGCCAAGCTCACACTTGGCGAGGAGTCTCACAAGTAAATCGCACAAAGTGCGCGTATTGATAGATGGGCGGCTCTGCTTGGAGTTGCTCCAGATAGCTTGCGGAATGGTTCGGCACTCCGACCAAACGCCTCCAATGAAAACGCACTTCGAGCCGCCAAAGGCATGTAGGGAAGAGAGAGCGACGGACTTTCTTGCAGGACTGTGAGGTCACCTTGGATGGCCAGGCGGGGGAGGTCGACATTCTGAGTGTGAGAGGGGAGGTAAGAAGGTAGTGGTACTTTGCAGGTTTTCTCTGCGCAGTTTGAGGAGCGCCCCTGTCCGCTTCTGAGAAGGGTTCAGTCAGTGGCTGCAGAGAGGGCCATATTGGGTCCCGAACGTTTTCCGTGATGTTTGTGTCAGGCTGGGACGAGACCAAGGTCCACTCCCAAGACATCGGCCTTTCAGTTTTCACGCGACTCTCAGCAACTCTGCAGGTCTGCGCAGCTGCTTTCGTCTCTTCGGCGAAGACGACGTGCGTCCATCCTGATCGCCAGGATCCGTACCTGTGTCTTGGCCTCAGCATTCAAGCGGCTTCCGAAACCAGTGTCCAGCGTTACGCAGATTCGGGCCAAGGCGGGGACTGCCCACGGAATCCAAAGAGTGCTTTCGAGGGCGAGAAGGCCTTTTTGGCCATTTGCCAAGCACAAGCCTTGCGATGAATATACAGAAATATAGTTCACATGCATTCTATATGTGTGGGCGAGGTGTGTGCGGCAGCCGCCTTTGTGTCCTCGGCCAAATCGCAGTGCGTCCACCCGGAGCGGAAGGATCCGTACTTGTGCCATGTCCTCGGTGCCCAGAAATTCGAACTTTGCGCTTGCATTTTGCCGAAATCAGGTGGAGACTGCCCTCGAAACGGTGCTAAGGCTGAGCATTGACTCGTTTTGCGAGAGCCGAGTCTAGCCGAGTCTAGCCGAGAGGCGTTCGCCTTCGTGTCCGCCAAGTCGCAGTGTGTCCACCCCGAGAGAAAGGATCCGTACCTGTGCCGCGGCCTTGAAAAACTGCGCACCCGGAACGGAGTCTGAGTCTCCTGAGTCTCCTGAGTCTCCTGAGTCTGAGGTGGAGACTGCCCGCGCAACAGTGCCACGCCGACGCCTTTTCGCGGCATGCGCATGGCGCGGGCATCGAGCCTGTGGCAAGCGCCAGGTGGTCTGATTGCTGCGGGCTTGGTGAGGTCTGTGCGAGTCTGCGAGTCAAATGTCCTCAGACACAGACACTGTGACAGTCTACAGCTCTCCGCCATGAGTGAATCCTTGTAAACATGCTTGAGGCATGGGCCAACCTCATCAATGGCCCATGACAAAAGCTTTTCAAACCGAGTTGCACGCACTGCCTTACGAAGGACGAGAGTCCCCAGTCCCCCCAGTCCCCCACTGGCTTCTCTTCCAACTGATGCTTCGACCCAATGGCCTCGGTGTGGACGCGTCCTTGGAGCCTGCCTCCGACGAGGTCAGGTGAAGATGTGTCGAGGTATTGAACGGTAATGACATGTTTCAGACATGTTGGACACGTCTTTGACATTGAGATCAGGGTTGCTACGGTTGCAACGGTTGCGATTTGCTTGACAGGAGGGCGTGCAGCTGCCCTGGGGCATCCGTAAGCGGCTGCTGCAGCAAGGGTCCTCGCAGGAGCGGCCCGTCAGCGGGGATGAGGCCCGTCGATTGCGGCTCGACTCTGACTTCTGTTCCAGACTCTTCCAGACTCTTCCAGACTCTTCTAGGTGTCTCCCTCTCGACGCCTCTACTCTCCCACGCCCGACAGACTCTTCTAGGTGAAGATCCACTTCGAGGGACGTCTGCAGGACGGGACTTCCATCGGCTCCACCAAGGAGCCCTTCACATTCATTGTGGATCAGAGGCCGGCTCAGACATGAGAGAGGAGAGGTGTGCCTAATTGGCCAAGCTAGGCCGAGAGAGGTCATCCAGGGCTGGCTCCTCAAGACCTTCACTTGAAATCATTCCTTTCACATTCTAGTTTTGATGAGGAATAGAGCTGGCTGTGCAGACAATGACGCTGCTCGCTTCACGTTATCCATTGTTTTCAAAGCAACACATCTGAGTTCTGTCTACTGCAATCTCGCGCTATTTGCCTGATCCGAGGAAGGGCGAGGCGCCGTGTCTCGTGGTTCAAGCACGCGTTTCAACGCCATTTTAATGTCTGATTGAAACGCGTTTCACTGGTTGCGTCGTTGGGCTCGTCAGCTCGAAGGTGGCAGAGTTCACTATCGCTCCGCGCTTCGCGTACGACGACTTGGGCTCGCCACCGCTGGTCCCGCCGGATGCCACGCTGGTCTTCGAGTTGGAGCTCTTGGAATGGGAGAACAAGTCGGACGTGCTGAATGACGGCCGTGCCGCGGCTAAGATAGAAGAATGGCACAGCATGCATGGGAGGCATGAGATGGATGAGCTGCGCGAGATGCGTGAGATGCATCAGATGCATGAGATGCATGAGATGCGCGAGATGCGTGAGATGCATCAGATGCATGAGATGCATGAGATGCGCGAGATGCGTGAGATGCATCAGATGCATGAGATGCATGAGATGCATCAGACGCATGAGATGCAACAGACGCATGAGATGCATGAGACGCATGAGATGCATGAGACGCATGAGAGCAATGATATGCATGAGATGCATGAGATGCATGAGATGCATGGGCGGCATGAGATGCATGAGATGCATCAGACGCATGGGGCGCATGAGACGCATGAGATGCATGAGATGCAACAGACGCGTGAGATGCATGATATGCATGAGATGGATGAGATGCATGAGACGCATGAGGTGCATGAGATGCATGAGACGCATGAGATGCATGAGATGCATGAGATGCAACAGACACATGAGATGCATGAGATGCACGAGATGCATGAGATGCATGATATGCATGAGATGCATGAGACGCATGAGATGCATGAGATGCATGAGATGCATGAGATGCATCAGACGCATGAGATGCAACAGACGCATGAGATGCATGAGACGCATGAGATGCATGAGACGCATGAGAGCAATGAGATGCATGAGATGCATGAGATGCATGAGATGCATGGGCGGCATGAGATGCATGAGATGCATCAGACGCATGGGGCGCATGAGACGCATGAGATGCATGAGATGCAACAGACGCGTGAGATGCATGATATGCATGAGATGGATGAGATGCATGAGACGCATGAGGTGCATGAGATGCATGAGACGCATGAGATGCATGAGATGCATGAGATGCAACAGACACATGAGATGCATGAGATGCACGAGATGCATGAGATGCATGATATGCATGAGATGCATGAGACGCATGAGATGCATGAGATGCATGAGATGCATGAGATGCACGAGACGCATGAGATGCATGAGATGGATGAGATGCATGAGATGCATAAGACGCATGAGATGCATGAGATGCATGAGATGCACGCATCTCATGACAAGGTGCCATCAAGACCATCGTGGAGAGGGGTGCTGGTAGGCGGCCGCAGAAGGGGCAGGACGTGGCTCCCAGGCAGCAATTGTCAGCGTGAAGAAGCACTGGCCCCCGGCTTGATCCAAGGTTGTCTCGCTGAAGATCACGTCGCGGAAGGGCAAAGTCCTGCAAGACGAAGATATCGATCACACGGCAGGGTCTCCGGGAGTCGGGAGCGGCCAAACACGTCGGGAGATTTTGCAAATCGCTTTGAGGTTGGGGCATCCGACTTTGGGCAACTCTCGGCGATCCTCTCGGAGGTCATCCTTAGCATGGCGGAAGGCGAACGCTGCACTGCAACTTGGTGAGCTTCTATGAGCTATGATGTGCCGAACCAAAGAGTCCCTACCAATAGCGTTTGTTCTGGAATTATCGCCGCGTTTCGCTGATCGATTGTGGCCACTAAGAGAGCAATTGGCTCCTAGTCGCCCAGCATAGGTATTCCTGCGGCGCTTTGCGGGCGACAAGATTGCGCGGCCCCAGCACCCAGCAGGCAGTGGCCTCATGCGCGAGAGCACTGCGCCAAGGACTCTACTTACAGCGGTGCCACTGCGGATCTCACGCTGAGGTTCGGAGAGCTGTCCCTTTCCGAGAGCAGTCCAGCCGTGTTTGAGGCGCATCTTCGAGACAACAGATGTGTCTCCCGAGAAGGACGGAGCGTTGATGAAGAAGCTGCTCACGTCCGGCAGCGATGATCCTCCGCGAGCTCTTGACGATATCGCCCTGCAAGTGGACAGCGTGACAGCAGCCTGGCAGCAGTCAGTTGGAAAGTCGTGTCCGACATCCGGCGAAATTTGGCCTGCCGCATGTGAGGCTGAAGTAAACTCCTTGAAGCAGTTGTCCGGCCAAGTTCTGAATTTTCGCCTGGGAGGGGGAGAAGTCTGCGATGCTTTGGACTTTGCGGCTGAGACGATGACTGTGGGCGAAGAGGCGCTTTTGCATAAAAGACAAGGGCATTTATGCCATGCTTCGAGTTTGGCAGGCATTGGGTGAACATGTATGAATGTGTTTGCCATTTTGGCTCAAGCCTGAGCCAAACTGGCAGACAGCCTTTTGGTTTTCGGAAAATTGCTCCAGAGTGGGATCCCTCCACGCTGTGGCCTTGCTTGACTTCCAGGCGTTCGCTGCAGGACTGGTTGACCGTGGGGAACGGGGCCAGGCCATGCAGTTGTGGAGGTTGGTTCTGGTGGTGGTGCGTTACGCCCCCCACTGAGCTGCCTACAATCCAGATGCCGGATTTGGCCACAGATTGTGCTAGGTGCACGCAGGGGCGGGGGGGGTTTCGTTCCTGTGGCTCGGGATATGGTCCAAGCAAGCAGTCTTGGTTCAAGACGGAGTGGGGCCCGCTGATGCTGGGATCCGCAGACTTAAGCTTGCGAGTCCCCTCCTTTTCCCGGACCATGTCTCCCGACTTGCGGACTGTGGAGTTGGACGGGAGGCAATCTTTTGGGCTGCCTGGGCCGGGAAGGTTCTGCCCCTGTTTGCGCGCGGTGCGGATACCTCGCCAGGAATGTCTTCGTAGCATCTGTGAAGAACGCCTCAGCCGTTTGGTCTCTATGCGGGATCCTTAGTCACATGGCCTTCTTTCCCCCGAAAATCTATGGTGGAAGGCGCAACGCACGGCTCGATGGTGGGGGTGCAGGACGACGAGCTATTCCATCTGCCGACAGGCTGTGAAGTCCTCGACGCGGAGACTGGCAGACCAAGAGCGACGCTCGCGCGCCGCTCTTGACGCACTCTGGAAGAACATGTGCGCCTCCACCAGACCCTTGAGGCCGGAGAGCAGGCGTTGGTGCACTTCGTCGCCGGGCAGCGCAGTGGAGCTGCAATGGGCATACTGTCCACAGCGCGGTGTTTCCGAGGACGCAACATCGAGCGCAGCAAGATTGCCAAGGACACCGCGACGCGGGTGCGCGTGAGGCAGGAGATGCGGGTGGGTCCTGCGTGGCTGGTTGGAGCCCCAGAAGCGTAGCTCCAATCTCCTGCGCCCGCAAGCAGTACCTTCGCCACTCCCGCAAAGCTGTTGCCGCTTCCGGATAGCTCCTCATGTTGCCCAGGTCCGTGAGCTTCTTCAAGATGAGAGCTCTTTCCCCCGGACCTCCAGGTTGGTAAGTGACCAGGAGTCTGTATAGTACCCCAGTCGAAGATATTTCACGTGCCGAGATGAGCTCTTTCCAAATCTCCTCCGGCGCCGCCTTCAAAATGAGCGTCATACCCCTCCGTTCCGCTGACCAACCTTGGGTGGCACGTCGACTGTGATCTTGAGCGCCAGCTGTGTCAGGCAAGAGGACCAGCTGGGTGGCGGCGCATTGAGTAGATCAATGGCCCCCCAAAAGCAAGCCTTAGCCCCCTGCCGACATGCCCGAACAGACTGAGAGAGCAATATCAAAACGTGCGAGCCGCCCCTGCTAAGTGCCACTTGTCATTGTTGGGTGACAGTGAGTTGCAAGACGTGAGGATGGCTTTCTGGGCGCACGGTGCAGAGCCGCGTGGCCACGGGAGCTGTGCCACGCTGTCTCGTGTGAGTCGCGAGATGTCCAAGCGGCTCCTTTGTGTGTATGATTGCAGTTTCAGTTGATGTCTTCTAGCAACAAGCGGAAGCTGGCGGAACCGGGAGAACTACTTCGACAAGCTGTACATTGGTGGACTATGCCTTGGCGAGAACAAAGTGCTGGCGAGAGCGCCAGGCTCCAGGGAGGTCACCCTGGAGGCTGACAGCGCAAGAAGAATCACCCAACTCCGTCACCACGAGAGCGCCAAGTTGTTGCGTCTGCACGAAGGGCAGGTGAGAGTCAACGGAGCAGGAGGAGGACCTTGAACGCTGTGAAGGATGGCGCCAACCTCTGTCAGGCCTTCCAGCGCAGCCTGTGTAAGGCGGCTAAATGCCTGCCAGGTGCACGCGAGAACTAAACGTCAGTCGGCAACCAGCCCCGGGCTGGGCGGGAAAACCAAAAAGGTTGTCAAGCCAAATGGCAGACACATTCCAATCCATAATGCGAGTTCACCCAATGCCTGCCAGGCTCGAAACATGGCAAAAACAATTCTGATACGGCGTCTGCCCAATTGGCTTCCACTCATCCAGCCCACACAAAATTGTCATCCGCTTCAGGTCAGGTTCTCGCCGCCCCCGAATCAAACACACGAGGGCTGCGCCTTGTCACTCCCCCGGCCGGCGTGGACAGTTCCAGCTGAGCGGTCGGTTGGCTCTCCAACACCGCGTCTGACGCCGGGCCCGGTAGCATTCGCAACAGCCGACGTAGCTAAAATGGAGCCCAGCAGTTCAAGGCTCGCTCGGATTGGCCCAGTCAGCTCAGAAGATCTCTCGGCCTGCCGCATCTGCCGCATCTTGACGGAGCCGGGCCCTCACAACTAACACGGCCATACATGCCGACAGGCTGCCTGACCTTCCGGATCATGCCTGTCATCTTATCAGGCCGCCGCAATGAAGTCGACTTGCGCTGGCTGGCCCGCCAGCGACTCTTGCCGAACGGGGCGGGAGAGATCACGCGAGGGATCCAGCAGCCAGTCCACCGACAAAGTGCGCTCCGCGCCACAAGTATGCTTTTGCCAGTTGCAAATTGGGCCACACATGAGGTCGGCCATGCAAGGTCATCACTCACCTGGCGGTTCTACCAAAGCATTCCCAGAACACGCATCCGCCACTTCATTTTCCGAGCACGCCTTGACAGTCCCCTGAAGACCGGGGCTTGCGCTAAAGCGATCTGTGCTGAAGACGGGGTTGGGAGAACTCAATGGTGCTTGGAGGCATCCAGGCCGGAGTGCTCGGCGACCCCAGCACAGGCCATGTGAGTGACACATGGCAGCCCAAAGCAACATCCCTCAAGTGATGAGGGTTGACAAGAGCACGAGCGGTGCTGACCAGCAGAGAGAAGGGAAAAATGATGCGGGAGCAGAGTAGCACAAACGACTTGACACGTTGATGGGAAAGAAAACTGCTTCTCGTTTTGCCTTTGGGTTCGTTTCTTGCCTTCCTTTGTTGGCTGAGGCCGTGCTGACCTGGAAGGTCCAATTTCCGGAGGCCGAGAGGGTGGTCGTCAAGCTGAAGCTGGCAGGCGCAGACGCAGACACTAGAAACGGGGGGGGGGGTTGAATGGAGAACGGGGGTTGAGACGTTGGATACAGGTTGAAAGCGGGCCACGCGTGGGTTGCCTGAGGCATTGGGAGGCGGCATGCAGGAGTTGCTGAGCAGAAGGATGCGGCAGCGCAGCATTTCAAGAGCGAGCGTGGCCCTTCTGAATGGTGAGGAAACATGAAGCATGGAGGTAATCCCAAGACGTCGGGGAAGGCTTGGCTTGGCCCTGCAGGCTTTGCTTTGGCGCTGCAAGTCTACCGCAGGACACTGCTCGTCGATCGGTCCGGATTTAGCAACCTTTGCCGCCAGGCTGCGGTCTTTAAAGCCAGAGCCAGAACTGCACTGCATTTGTGAGCTGAACGAAGCTGCTTGCCCCCCTGCAGCACCAACACATCAGTCTGCAGCATGTAGTGGCTGCTCAGGGTTGGGTCACGTTATATGCTCCCATCAGACATTTCTCAACTCTGCATGTGAATGCCACGTTGCGGCAGCCCAGGCTTGCTGAAACTTCGCAAGTTCCACGATGCCAAACAGCTCTGCAGCGATGTGCTGGCCAGCAATCCGCAGCAGCCGCACCAGATCAAGGCGCTCTACCGACGCGCGCAGCTCGGCCAGACGTTTTCGTCGACTCAAAAACGTCTTTTGAATCCGACTGGGCCAGGTCTGCAGAATTCCAGCTCTCTGACTTTGCAGCGGCGCTGCAAGATCTGACAGTCCTTCTGAAGATACAGCCCGGCAATGGCAGCTTGGCCTGTGCTGTTTGAATCACTTCAGCCCATGAGAGCTGGGCAGGCGAGGCACGGGCTTTGGCGGAGCAAGTTCGAGAGGTGCCTGGGCAGGGCATCGCGCAGTGCAGCAATCTTGCTCTTCAGGCGCAGCGTGCCTACGCAAAGCAGGCAGAGTGGCAGAGTGGCAGAGTGGCAGAGTGGCAGAGTGGCAGAGGGTTAGAAGTAAGTCCAGTGAGCGAGCCTTGGACAGGCCAAAGAAACGGCGGCTCGAATGTTTGCAAATGCACGGACGGCACCTGCTCCAGAGGCGGGCGGGCCCCTGCAAGAGCTTGCTGTGTGCAGCCTCAAGCAACCAAGCAAGTCTCGCATCCCAACTGAGGGCTGGCTGCGATGGCCGTGCCTGCCATGCTTGCCATGCCATGGCAGCGAGGAAAACACCCGACCGTGATGGGATATGCAGTGATAGCATGAGCATTGTGCGTCGTTGGCAAGAGCCCGTTTAGGAAAGTCTGTGCCGAGGTTGGAAGGCTCGGCGATCGCCGCATGCGACTTGAAGCTGCTTGTACATTTTGATCGGGGTTGCTGCAGAGGACAGCAACTCACTGCCTGCAGGCCCCGGCGATTGCAGGACGCAATTCTAAATCGGATTGTACAGCTGTGAGGGCCTGTGAGATCGTTTCACCAAAGCGGTCCTCTCCACATACCTGACCAGAGTTGGCCCAGATGTTATGCACGCCGGTCACCTTGCTTAATTTCGTGGGGCAAGTCCGGTCCGGACGTGGACGTGTTTTGAGCCTCGTGGCTGCAGCTTCAGTAGCGCAGTTTTCCAGCGGGAAGGGACGGCTGGAAGGTTGAAACCTAAAGGCCGCCAACCCGACTCCCAGTGTGAAGAAACCAAGACACCGGAGCAAAAAACAAAAAAGCTTGTCCCACTGCCGCTCAGCACGGGCAGGGCCACGAGTGGCAACTCACGGAATCTGTGGGCAGGTCAAAGTACCAACTGTGATCATTCATGGTGACGTGGATGAGGTGCGGGGTTTGCCGGAATGGTTTTGGGTCGAGGTTTCTTCCCCCCAGAAGTCATTCCTCAGCCATTTTTGTTGCGGTGCAGGTCCCGGCAGAAGCTGCGGAAAACATGTCAATGCTGCAATGCTTGAGATAGCAATGCCAGATCAGCCCGGTGGAGCAAGCGATAGCCGCACATCGCGCATGCGGGAGCAAGGCGCGGATCTCGAGCGGGCATTCTGTTCTGAACAGACCGGTTCTCCGGTCCTTGGCTCAATGCCGAGGAGAAAAAGCTGCTACGGCACGTGCCTCATCCAGTTCCTGCTTGGGCTGTATTATGTATGCAGGGCTTCCTCATTGCTTGAGGTATTGTGCAGGGCACAACGATCTTCGCCTTGTAGCCAAAAAGGCCAGGCTGCCAGAGCTGCCAGAGCTGCCAGAGCTGCCAGAGCTGCCAGAGCTGCCAGAGCTGCCAGAGCTGCCAGAGCTGCCAGAGCTGCCAGAGCTGCCAGAGCTGCCAGAGCTGCCAGAGCTGCCAGAGCTGCCAGAGCTGCCAGAGCTGGAACTTGAAGTGATTCAAGCAAACTTTGAAGACCCCAGACAAGCCGAGGAGTACTATCGGGAAGTGCGCGGCCTTTGCGAGCGTGTACTCACTGGCAACCCAGAGGCGAAGGAGTCAAGAGTTCTCATTTTTTGATCTTTCGCTTGTCTTTCTTTGGTGACTCGCTCGACAGGCCTTCCAGCCACCAGACGGGAACCCGGGCTGGCTGGCCGCGCTGGGCGAAGTGTTTTCCGGGTCAGCCGAAGGCCTAAGAGTCGAGCCTCGCAACAAACACGTGAGATGGACGTCCAAGGCTCTCAAATGCCTGCCTGGCATTCGGCGTTGCTTTGTCAATAGCTCAGACGACATCCAAGCCGAGACGCCGCACTGAACTAAAGGGCGTGCAACACTCAAGTTACTACTGCAAAGAGATGCAGGCAATATACCAGCACAGGTGCACACGGTGGACTGCATGCATAGCATGCGGCGATATGCCTCGCATCGCTTGCTCGCCGCAATTTTTTGGATTTGCAGCTCTAGCTTCCTGTTTGCAGTCAATGTGGCTGGCGAGTCGAGGCAGAGTGAGCGTCAGCTCTGACCCCCGACTATGGGGTCGCATATTGCCACCTTGAGTCAGAGAGAGGCGCTCAGCTCCAGCGTCTCACCAGGCCATGCTGCCCGCTCGCCTCACCAGGAGCGCAGGCGAGTGCCGTTTGAGCCGTGCGCCTTGAGAACGCAACTTGCGAGGTTTGGCAAGAGACTTGAGCACCAAGAGCCGGCATGCTTTCGGGAGGCGGCATAGGATGCATAGGAGCGTTTCCCGTTTCACTCGGACCGCACGTGCAAGGCCTCCTCACATCGGCCTGGCTGCGAGGTTGCCATTGCCACCCAGCCCCTTGCACTGCATGCGCACGTGCTGCGCTTGCCGCAAAGCTTGGCTTCCTAGGTCGAAGTTGTGCTAAAGTCCGGGTGCTTAGGATGTGTCACAGGAACTCCGAACTCCGAACTCCAAACTCCGGGTGCAATCGGAAGGTTCCCTCTCTCTTTCAGTTTCTTCTCTTGGAGTGTGGCAGTGTCTTTCTTTTCACGGTGTCTTTTCACGGCTTTTTCTTATGGCTTCTCTTCAGTCTTCTCAGTCTCTTTCAGACTCTTCTCAGAGGCTTTTCTCCGAGGTAGATGCCTCCAAGGAGGGCACCTCGGTTTCCTCGGAACCGACGAGGGAGCAGCTGCACAGGCGGAAGCGCACCTCGCTTCGCGCTCGCTCCCTTCTGGCGCAGGTGCCTGCAGGCAGCCGCCGTCCCCTTCATCGGGCACCACTGGCCTGTGAACCGAGTAAGGTTCGAAGGTCCTAAGATGTCCTAAGATGTCCTAAGATGTCCTAAGATGTCCTAAGATGTCCTAAGATGTCCTAAGATGTCCTAAGATGTCCTAAGATGTCCTAAGATGTCCTAAGATGTCCTAAGATGTCCTAAGATCCTAAGGCCTAAGGTCTTTGCATTCGTTGACAGGTTTGGGTTCCTGGACAATTTCCTGATGATTGTGTTCGGTGATCTTATTGACAGCACGCTATGCGCCGCTCGGCCTGCACTCGTGTTTGCAATGGCATCAATTCTGGAGGGGGCCTGTGGTACTGCAATGGAAGGTCGCTCTAAATTTCAGCACAATGGCAGCGCTCGGACCTCGATTTCAAGAGCCTCACAGTTGGAGTCGATGTCTTTTTGCGCAAGGGCTGCAATCGGCAACACGTCCTGGCCTTGGCCGCCTGCGAACTGCGATCAGCGAAGCCAGTTCCAGGATAAGTGATGGTGCCGGCATTTGGTCTGGCCAGTGGCTGGAGTCCAAATGCAAAGCGTTGGGATTTGAGGAGATCCCAAATGCAAACGCTGTGAGTCGCTTGTGAGCGTCGCTTGCGAGCGTCGCTTGTGAGCGTCGCGGAGCAGAAGGAGCCCAAGCTCACCGAAGCCCAGCAAGAATTGCCCATCACCATCCGATGGAAAAACATAGGCTGGACTCAGCCAATCTGACCTGGACATTTAACGAATATTGGTTTTTGAGCAAAAGATACACATTTCCTCTTCAATGTTCTTGCGACTTGGGGTGCGCTTGCCCCACAGGCCAGTTCATCGGGATCACCATTGGCTGCATTCTTGGATGTTGTCCTTTGCTGGTGCCGGTTGCTTATAGCCTTCTCCCCGTGCAGTCCAAGCTGCATTTTGGGTGACAGCTATTTGAGGCTGTGTCAGCCACTGAGGATGGATCCCAATGCGGCAGTGCAGCATCGCCGGGACAAGGCGAGGGGAGCTTTGTTCCCCTGATTGGACTTTGTGACTTTGGACTTTGCGTTTTGAGTCCGCCAGGAGCGCGAAGAGGCCTTCGAGATTGTCATCTCCAAGGCCGTCTGGAACGCGCGCGCAACTCCATGCGATTCTTCCAGTGCGACTGCGCAGGTGCAGGAAATTCTCCAGGCAGAGGCCGTGGGACTGCTACTGCTGAACAAGGCAGGGCGGCAGGGCGGCAGGGCGGCCGGGCGGCAGGGCGGCAGGGCGGCAGGGCGGCAGGGCGGGGCATGAAATTCGATGCACGTCAAGTGCAAAAAGGATATCGCAGTATTCAAAACATTTGACTGCACCTTGTGATCGCCAGGGGTGTCGACGTCATCTTTCAGCGCCCTCATATTTTGTCGACCTCTTTACATTAGGTTCCAATTATGACTCGGATGTGGCTGACAGGCCCACCCCGTTTGACCCTTTTGGGCAATGTACGAATTTCTCTTGGTCAGGCCCTTGACGCAAATGTAATTGAGTTTTTCATTGTAGATCAGATTGTCTTTGATGACATGGGCCAGCTAGCCCTTTCACGGGGGCAGTACCGGCCCACTTCGTCCCTGTCAAGACAAACCTTTTGGGACCCTGAAGCCTTTTGGAGGTTTTGGACCGTTTGTTCCCCTGGACTAGCATGACATGGTAGGGCAACGCCATGCAAAGCCGGGAGGGAGTAAAGGCCAGGTCTTCATGGCAAGATAGTGAGCAAAAGACGGCTTTTCCCTGCAAAGACACCTGGTTGTCAATCTCATCGTCAACAACTGCAACAGGTGGAATGCGCTAGCCAGTAGCCCATTTTTATGTCGGTCATACGCAACACCTGCACTTGGACATAACATGCTGCTGTCCCTCTCCTGATGCCAGTCATGTTTGCAGACACCAACACACCAAACCAAATAGTGGATTGTATGGCATCGCATGGCCGTGGCAATTCGGCTGGCTTCTGCTGCGATTTCTGAGCTGTTTTCCTGAGCACATTGGTTGACCTCCGTCTGTCAGTCATGCCATGCGCCCCCTACAATGCAAATTCTTGTAGTGCCAGGATTAACATTTGATTTATGCCAAGGACATTTGATAGAGTGGGCGTGGCTTTCAAGAAATGAACGTGTTATCTGCGCAATAAACACAAAAACTTGCTTTCCAAATGAAATCGACTGGAGGAAGCGCAAGCTGAAGCTATCAAGACTCATTCAAGGCATTGAGAGCAGAGCGCTACGTTCGAACATGGACCACCAATGACAGCAATAATCATCCTCAGAAGATGAGAACAGCAAAAAAGACCCAACAATAAAACTTGCCAGGAACGTGAAAGCCCGCGCCTCAAACACAGATGAGACCCATAGCAGGCAATAGCCCAGCTGTGCTCGTTGGGTCTTTACCCTTTTGGCATAATTTTGGCCATTTGCGCAAATTTGGGCTCTTTTGAATCTTGCGCGGCTTGTCTGCCTTTCGGGCCAGGAGAGAGACGAATTGGTTTCCTCGCACCAGTCACTGAACCTGCCGCCCTCCTTCCACTGGAAGCTGAACCAAGGCGTCATAGGCACCGGTGCTCAGGGGTGTGCTCGTGACGTCGTGGGGCTCAGGCTGTGGGAGCCTTGCGCCATGTTTGGCTTGGCAGGCCACGTTGCGCATTCCGGGAATTTTATCAACATTGCTGACATCAAGGAGACGAATCGAGTGTCTTTTTGCCTGCTTAGCTGCTTGTGCTTTGAACTGGGTTCTGGACGATTCTCCCGACTCGAGCACATGTGGTGACCAGGGCTCGTGAGTGTTGCATGCTGACAGCCAACGAAAGGAGCATAAATCAGCCGCGGGCACATGTTGGAAAGCACTGCCACAGAATCGGTGTGTGGATCACGCGAAATGGTTCTGGTTGTTCAGTGCAAAAGGGGCCAGCGCCAGCATTCAGACATGCTAGCGTAGATGCCACAAGTAAGAAAACCACGAATTTAATCGTATCATTGCGGAGGCTGCCGCAAAAAGCAGGAGTGCCATTTTTCCAAAATCCTGTCTCAAGAAGGCCGTAGGCGTAGCAGCAAAGAGGGAACTGCCGACCTGAAGAGTTCAGACCAGAGCCAACGGTAGACCTAGGTGAATCGGTGTGGATGCCTGTGGATGCCGTCTTTACGCTTTAAGATCAGCCAATGGACCCTGCCCCAGCTGTCTGGAGCAGTTGATACGTATGAAGCATGAGACAGGCCACGGTGACAACATGCGATCCGACAACGGTTGAAATGAGTTGTATACGAAAGGCCTGGCGCACTAGCAAAAAGGCTGAGCGCTCTTGCGAGGGCACAAGGATTGCGCGTTTGGGCCTTTGAGTGTCTTAAGCCTCGCCGAGCAAGCCGCGCTTCTAAAGGGAGGGCCATTTTTTTAAGTTTTATTTTTTTAAAGGGTGGGTGGCTTTTCGGCTTTTTGGCTTTTGTCGATTTTTCGTGGGTTAATGTGGCTCTTGTGGCTTTTGATTTCGCATTCTCTGCATTTACAGTTCCTCTCTGTTTGGCTTTTGCGGCTTTGGCTTTCGCATCCTTTGCTTTCCCAATTGGTTTTGGCCTTTGGCTTCCTGCATCCTCAGCATCGCCAGTTCCTCTCTGGTGCCCCCCCCCAAAAAATGTAGAAAAGGCTGATTCTTGGGGGTGGGGGGTAGATGGTTGCCTGTTCTGTTTTTTATTTCACAATTCAACACGTGTACCACCTTATTCGTTTTTAAAAGGCTGATTTTGGGGGCATGAAATAACGATATGGATGTGGTAACGAATTGATGATTTTGTCCCCTGTTTCGTTCCAGATTTCAACTTTTAGTTTTATTGATTGAAAGAGGTTAGGGCTTTCTGTGGTTTCATGGGTTGGCTTTTGGGCGGTTGTTGTGGTTTGTCATTTTTGGTTAATGTTGAAACGCATGTGGAAACATGAACTGTGTGTGGAATGCTTGACCACAATGGCATGTGCCATTTTGGCTCAAGCATTGTTCTGGGTTCCTGGAACCCAAGCTGATTGAAAAACTTTGATCTTTGGCATTTTCGAACTTAACACCGACCAAGCAATGGCTTCCTCGGCAACCTCGGCCACTTCCTTTGAGTTGATTGACGACCAGACACTCACCGTGGAGGAGGTTGAAATGGCAAGCCAGGAGGCCCAGGACATTCGCACACGGGAGGCGGCAGTGGCGGCCGGCTTGGTTTGGACGAGCCCGAGGCCCCCCCGTCAGCTTCGGCGACCGATGTGATGAAGGACCTCTCCAGTGCACTGGAGCGTCTCCGAGTGGCATTTGCCACACCGACTCCCGGCTTGGGTGCCCCTGGCCCCGCCGAGGCGGGCGACAAGGACATGGGGGATGCGGACGGCACGGAGCGGGCCACACCACCGGAGGAGGCGCAGACGCCACCCACGAAGAGACTGAAGGGCTTCGTGGCGGCTTCTCAGAAGGCTACGTCTCAGGCCAACAAACCTGTCTCCTTGGTGCCGGTGGACGGAAAACCCGGGTACTTCAAGCTGGTGGACCTCCCAGACCTGTTTCCAGTCCTTCCAGCGTCGGCGGCCACCTTGCTGAGAGACATCACGGTGGAGGAGGCGGTCTCCCTGTTTCACAAGTTTGTGGGGAAGAACCTCACGGAGGACCTGGTGATCCGCATCCTGGAGGCGTACGTCCCGATGAAGATCGGAGGAGGTCTGGGCTTCGCAGTTCCAGAGGAACAAGGCGTGTATTGGCACCCAGCGCATGCACAGGCTCGACGCAGGTCGTTCCGACTACAAGTTCATGTGCAAGGCGTGCGGAACGGGGTGGCCAGAGGCAGCCAAGCAGTGCTGGGTCTGCGACCTGGATCCAGCAGCGGGAATGGGGAAGCCTGGGTGCCGTTGGCCCCGGTGGTACCCTGGCACAGGCCGACCGCAACTTGGTGGACGGCGCGGTCTTGGGGAGAGCCCCTCCAAAAACGGACTCGGCGGATGAGATCACCATGGCAGATGCGGTCCCGCTTAACAGGCGGGTGGACATCCGGCAGGAGATCCTGTCCATGGAGGCGGACGACGAGGCGTTGAAGGTCCGGGAGAGCCAGGAGATCAAGGTCAAAGTGCAGCGGTCCCTGAAGGAGGCGGAGGCTCAGAGCTTTGAGCTCTACCATCCCCAGGTGGACCAGGCGATCAGGAAGAAGGAGGAGCTGCATAAGGCCTTGCGGGAGCATCGGAACCGACTCCGGAGGAGGCCTCGGCCAGGCGGCGGCACAAGGAGTTGGTCACTGAGGAGATGCTGGACAATGAGATGGCGATCCTGGCGCCCCTCCAGGAGGGCATGCAGGCCCTGCCGTCAGATGAGGTGGCCAATGAGGGAGCCCGTGCCCTCAGGAAGGTCAACCTGGAGCGTTTCAAGGCCAAGCTGAGAGACCAGTACTTGGAGGGGAAGGGCGTTGACGCCAGCCAGGCATTGGCTGAGGCGATGGGCTCCAGTCAGGAGGCTCAGGCGGCAAACAAGCGAACCCAGGACACCAACCAGGCATGGATGCTCAACCAACACTCTCAAGCCCTTGGAAGTGTCGGCGTGGCCGGATGATCTCAGGAAGGTCCTGGAGAGGGGCCTATTCTGCCCCCTGGAGCTGGATGACCCCAACGACATCCCCCCGGTGGGGGACATCAAGGAGAAGTATGTCCCCTACATCAAGATGCTCAGAGCGTCGCAGAACCCGTGCAGGCTGCTGGAGGAGATGCCCGAGCTGGAGGCACCGGCCCCGCCACCGGCCCTGGGAAAAAAAACCAGCCCATGTCCCAGCAAGACCTGGACTCTGAGGATGGCAAGCTGTCCCTTATCCTCTGGGCAATGAAGCGGCACCAGGCTCCGGATGTTTGGGGGGGTTTGGAAGAAGCACGCAAGCGGTGAGATCGCCCGGGGCGGACCAGCAGTTTAAGCTCGCGCCGGAGGAGCTCCTGGCCCTTGAGCGCAGGACTCACCCATTCACATGCGAGCAGGACCACATCGACCCAGTCATCTACACGGCCTTGGAGATCCGAGCTCAGGTGAACCGGGGCGAGCGCCCGGCACCGGAGCAGGGTATCTTCTGGGCGAAGGGTGATGGGGTGTTTTGGACCAGACAGACGAGAACGTGGGACCTGGCGAGCCTGTACGCCCACAGGTTCACATTTAAGTATATCTACTCGGCCTGGACCACCTTCCCGTTGATTGTGAAGACGCAATGCGGAGGGCTCGACCTCGGACAAGTGGAGGCGGTGCCCTTCCTGGAGAGCCTGGGCATCCCCAAGCCGCGCAGCAAGGAGGAGTGGAGTTACATCTTCAAGGAGATGGGGACATTCTTGGCGGCAAAGAATTTCACCGTTAACTGCCCGTTGCCCGTGATGGAGATGCCGGTGGCCCCCATCCATGACAGTAAGGAGGCGCTGCGGTTCAGGGCAGTTTGCGACGAACGGATCACCCTCCCGCTGGCCTTGCTGAAGGCCTTCGACTCGGTCTACACCGTTGGTGGCGGGCCTGAGTAAGTCGTCGATGGTGGAGGTGAAGGTCAATTGGCGCTGCAATGTGGTCCACGACTGGGTCGAGCAGGTCCCGCAGGAGGCGGCGGGGGCCTTGTATGACAGGTTGGGCTACTCCCAGGACCTCATCCGGCAGCTGGGTTGCTCCCCCCCCCTTGGGTGCCGTTGGCCCCGGGGGGGGAGCGGCCAAGGAGGCGGACCCAAAAACCAAGGTCCTGGAAGGGCAGACACCACGCTCCGCACCCCAGACCAGGGCACCAGGCGGTACCCGCCCATCACCACGGCCACGGTCACGGCGGTTGCGGGCCGAAAGTACATCAACAAGCCAAAGGCGAAGCATGTGTTTTGGGCCTCCGTGGAGTGTGGCTTGGTCTTGCCAAGCATCAGTGCCTGGGAAGTGGTGAGCAAGGAAAAGTTCAAGACCACGGGTGGCTAAATGTGCAGATTTTGCAAGGGCTTCTGGAAGGCGAGCCGCGGGGGGACCAGGCTGCTCCAGATCACGGGGTGGCACAGGGATAAGGCCACCTGCTTGCAGTTGGTGATGGACGAGCCCCGGAGCAGCTGTACAATCAGTGGATCCGCGATCGGATGGAGTTCTACAAGAGGGTGGAGCCAACGGAGCCTCCCAGGGATGAGCGGCTGGTCCTGGGCGACGCGAGCACCCCCCGCATGCGCTTCAGCTCCTCGAACGGCCTGGGGGATGTCTCCACGGCCGTGTGGTCGGTCATCCTGAGCAACCCGGAGAAGTCGGGGCTGGCGGCAATCCACTCGGTGGCGAAGGAGGCGATCCTGAAGGGAGGGAGCCGCTAGATTTTGTCTCACAACCCTGTCGGATGTGGGAGTGGTGTGATTTCTTCCTCCCGGGACTTGGGTGCCTTTGGCCCCGGGGAGGGGGAAAGGGTTTTCCTTATTGGGTTCGGTTTTCACCACTGTTTCCTCTCTTATTCCATTCTGGTGGCGCACGTGGGTTCTTCTGGTTGCTTGGCGTTGGAGCCACGTCACGGCAGTTTGATCTCCTCGACCATGAGGACACATGCGTGGCTGCAAGGACGGGCCATCTCAGCCATGGTTCGGAAAAAGTGGCTGCGGCCGACTCTTGGTTTCCCTGAGGTCCCCTTGGGGTTTTGGGGAATCCCCCGCCTGGTCGGTCTCCCCCTCCGTGCTTTTGGGGGGTTTCTGGGGGGTTG